TTTCACCTTTTTTACGATGAAGCATATCTATTGAACACACACTTCAAGTGCTTTGCTCATACATGTAAATGGGACCCTTTGCTTTTTCTTGTTTTATTGCTACCAAAGTTTCGACTGGACGCTCTTTTTCGAACTAAACGTTGCTTTCGGTTATATTGAACCTTTTTTGGCTGTAACGCTCAAGATTATTTCGCTTGATCTGTTGAAACGTGCAGAATTTTCCTATTGGTCCAGAATTATTCGAAAGGTAATTCAAATCACTCATTTTCCTATTTACTTTTTATTACCGCAGATATTTTCTGTGAATATTTGTAACATTTTGGCTGGATAGTGAATCAGGCTCACTATCAGNGGTATGACTGCCTTATGTAGTTGTGAATAATGCAAAAATAGTACGGTAGATTATTTTTGGATCGACTTGGTTCTCAATAATTTGGGCTACGCAATGCTCTGAGATTTGTTTAACGCTATCCGGAACGAGCAAAGGGTCATTTGATTGAACGCTTATAGACGAGGTCCTTTTCTTTACGCTCGGACCAGGACAGTCGCATTTTGGTCGTTACAGTACTCTGATATGCCCATCACTCGGAGAATGAATATGACGAACAAGGACGTTGATGACGAACAGCGGGGATCCAACGACAACACTGGAGAATCTCAGCAAGTCACTTTGCATAGTTTTCTGTTCACGGCTTCAGGGTTTGTGGGTCTAGTCGGCTGAGCGATAATTCGAAGCTTATCGTGTCGTTAATTGAAATGAAGGAACTTCATTCGTGAGAGTAAATGGAGCTGTAGTGAGAAAGATACTACATATACGAATAATAATGAAATAAACGGTAAAAGGAACGGACTCACAGAAGGATTGTCCGGCTGGTTGACTGATCCTGTTCTTTAGATGTGTGGCTCCGATTGAGGAGGTGCAGTGGAGCTGAAATGGATGACTACGGCAGTTAACGGACCGCTTGACGATAACTGATAATGATCGCGTAATGCTCCAGCAACACTCGGAGAACACGTGCGTAGTAACGAACAGAATTTGTATTGTTTCGTAGGTGTTGTGCACATTAAAACAAGCTGTACAATCATGTCAGATAAAAGTGGATAGAAAATTAAGACACTACAGAGCAGCAGATGAAAGAACTCCAAGAAGGGCATAGAAGCGAACTGCTAGTAGTACGACAAGAATTGGAGACTGCAAGGCTCGCAGAAAAAATGGAGGATAAGTTGTACATCCGTTCTACCGTGAGTGAGGACGGAAAAGATCAAGTGATGCAGTTTGTTGAAAACCAT